AAAAATAAATAAACATAGTTATGAATACATGGATACAGATAAGAAAAATAAATAAAAGAAACAATAGGACAGGGATGGTAGGCACGTTTGGTGCACTTTATATTTATACTTTATATTTATATATATTTATACTTTATTCATAAATTATATTTATAATTTATACTGGCTGAGTGCACCATAAAAGAACAGGTTAGGCATAGATCTATGTGGCTGCTCCTAGATGAAAACAACTTAATGGCATATCATCAAAATCCTATCCAAGGTAAGGTAGTCTCAGATCAAATACATTCAACACCTCTAAGCTGATTAGTGAATTAAACTCCTTTGTAAGTTTATATCAGATGCTAAACCATAGTATACAGGAAGTCCTCGACTTATCACCACAATTGAGCCCAAAAATTCTGTTACTAAACGAGAACATTTGTTAAGTGAATTTTGCCCCATTTTACAACCTTTCTTGCTATAGTTGTTACGTGAATCAGTACAGCTGTTAAGTTAGTAAAACAGTTAAGTGACTCTTGCTTCATTCGAGGCATTAATTTTGTTGTCAGAAGGTCACAAAAGATGGTCACGTGACCCTGGGATGCTGCAACTGTCATAAATATGGGTTAGTTGCCAAGCACCTGAATGTTGTTCATGTAACCATAGGGACGCTGCAACAGTCAAGTGTGAAAAACGATCATAGGTCACTTTTTTTCAGGGCCATTGTAACTTTTCAATGGTCAATAAGTGAATTGTTAGTGGAAGACTCGTTGGACGGATTAACTTTGCAAGTTAGATGTAAATCAAGACTGACTAAATGCTGACTAAATTGGCCTGGTCAATTATGGTGTAAACACAACAACAAACTAGCACATTTTATACATCTGTTGAATTTTCAGTGAAGAAATACAGGGATTGGCCACATTCATGTGAAGGTAAATTCCATTGCACTTTCTTTGTTCAGAAGAAAGGCGAAACCACTAGCATATTTCTTTAAGGAGCATTTTATTACTCCATGTGTCTTTCCTGTTTTGTAAGTGTTATTCTAGGTCAGCCATAAAGATGACTGAGGTGCCATGTATGTGCCCATATCTATGGCATTGATTTCTAGGTACATATTATTGCCAAAGAGGGAATAGTTATGGATGTGGCACAAAGTCAAACATTCTGGAGGCAAGGCATGCTGCTTTTGGCAGAAGTGAGGGTGTTATTGATGGCTTCAAGTCCATGCCTTGAGTTATTTATAAAAATAATGAAGATGACATAAAAAATAATAAATAGTGCCTCAGCATCCATAATGGCTAAAATGGCATTGTCAATGAGATTGCTTATGGAGTCCTATCAGAAAGGGAGCCTCTCCTGACACCTCCACCTTTAATTCTAAATATGAAGCTTATTTATTTTATGCATTCATTTTTGTGTTTGTTTTTTATATTCTGCCTTTATCATTTTTAACTCAAGGCAGTGAACTTATCCAGTACACTTTCCTCTTCCTATTGTCCCCATAACAAAACACTGTGTGGTGCATTGAGCTGAGGGAGTTTGACTGGCCTAAAGTCACCCAGCTGGCTTTCACAGCTAAGTCAGGACTTACTGTCTCCTGGTGATTGATCCAAAGTCACCTAGCTGATTTTCATGTTCTCTTGTTTTCGAACCTTGTGATTAAAACATTAGATCAAACTGCGAGTAGAGTTCCCATAACTGTCTTGTTGTGCTTATATGCAAGAGATGAATATTTTAATTCCTGTTTTAGGCTAATATCCTTGCTAAGCAGAAAATATATATATATATATATATATGCATACATATATATATATATAAAGAAATTTTAAAGATTGTTGATGTAACAATATCAATCATTAATTAAAGTTTGAAGAAAACAAAATTCCAACTTATCTTATTTTTGTTTCTAACTAAATCACTTGATATGCCTGGGAGAGTATGCATTTGGTTTCACCTGTGAATATCAAAATAATGATTCTATTGTCTGCTGTTGCACAAGTTGAGTATCATATATGTTATATACTTAATCCACTGTGTGCTTAAAGTACCAAGACTTATGGAATTGAGTGGGATAGCTTCTGAGAAATTATATATCGAATTATATATACATTTCAATGAGAAACTTCTGGTGGCATTTCTCTCTAAAAATGAATTATATAAAGTAATCATTATTGCAGGATGGAAGAAATAAAAGTCAAGAGGCTATTACTGTGCCATACACTTTTAACTGTCTTTTCGTACTTGTATATGTTATCTCACAGATCATAAAAGAGCATGATGTATGCATAAATTGGTAAAGTTGCAAGCTGTTATTAAGGACATGTCAGTTAGTCATTTTTCAAAATATCATTGGGAAAGTTTGACTCTTGAGCCAGTACTGTATGAGGAAACACAGCCTTGTCTTTTCCAGTTCTTCCGCTGTTGTGAATATCTACTCAAAATAAAATTGCTGAGAACTTGGAATAAGGAAGGGATTTGTGGGCATGAACAATATTTTTATTATTTCATAAGCGTACATCAGTAATGCTAAAAAAAAATACATGGGAACAGGGGAACATTATAGCCTCAAAAATACAGTACATGTGATTTTTTTTCAAGACCACCTGGTTTCCTCCCATTTATTTGACTACATTTTGATGTGAAATTTCTGATAATACTGTGAATATAGTAATCATTTCCAGGTGTTCCTAGCAATAGCCATGTTCAGGTAGTTTTCTGTCATGGCAATTTCTCACTCATGGAAAGGTCACCAAATTTGAACTTTATCTTTTTGAACACACACCTGTTAACAATGAAATTGAGAATGTTGGTAGCAAATCAATTTTGTTCCATGAAAATGCAGCTTACTTATTTAATTTTAAAGCCATTATTGGCAATATAATTCACATCTCTGCCACTAAAGATTCTGGAACTCAGATTCAACTTTAACCTGGAACATACATTTGATTCTTGTTTTACTTTGCCTTCACTTTGACCCAGTTCAATCAGCTGTGTTGCAAACTCCCGGTTTTTTTTTTTTTTCTTACAAAACTTTCAGTTCCCTATTTTATTGTGTCATGGTCTGGAATATCTTATAACATTCCTCACTAAGAAAATATTGTGTAGTAACTTTAACTTTTCCATATTTATTCCAAAAGGTGCTTTTTCCAAACAGCAACTGGACTTCCTTGATTTTTTTTAAAGATGTTTCACTTCTCAGCAAGAAGCTTCTTTAGTTCTAAGTGACTCCTTTCCATTCCCCACCAGTTAGTTAGAACTATCGTACCATTGAAGATTCTGGAAGTCAGATTCAACTTTAACCAGGAACATACCTTTGAATCCTGACATTTGTGTTATATTGCCTTCAGTTTTAGCCAGGTTCAGTCAATTTTGTTGCAAATCCACATTTTTTTCTTACAAAACTTTCCGTTCTCTGCTCACTAAAAAAATATTGTACAGTAATCTTAACTCTTCTACACTTATCCCAAAAGGTGCTTTTTTCAACTGGACTTTCTTGATATTTTGGGAGAGGGGCGGGCAGAAGATGTTTCACTTTTTACCCAAAAGGTTTATTCGGTTCTAACTGACTCCTTTCCATTCCCCACCAGTCAGTTGGAACTGAAGTAGCTTCTTGGATGAGAATAGAAATGTTTTCAAGAAAAAAATCAAGAAAGTCCAGTTGCCATTTGAAAGAAGCACTTTTGGAGACAAGCATGACCTGGATGATAGAGAACCTCCATAGAGATTTTTTGACATTAACATATTTTACTTCAGGCTTGTTCTCGTGCGCAAATTCTACTTTTTAGTACACATTTACTAATTTGCTAACCTAAGCGTGCAACAACAACAAAACACTACCTTCTTGCTTTCTCTTTTACATAATGATGCTGAATACAGGACAAGGGAATGCCTAAACTATGATAAGGCTAACCAGGGATGATGTACCCAGGTATCTT